TGAGTAAAATACTGGCATCGTTCTTAGTCGCTTTCCTTTTGAAACAAACCGCTTGGTAATCGTACATCCTGATTTTTTCAAAAATACCTTCCTTTACAAGMCCAGCCATTACAGGGCCTCTAACTTCACCAAAAAATTTTCCAGCTTCGCACTCGTTTTCAGCCGCTATTATATATCCGTTGTTATCGATCAAATAACAAGCCCACGAATCATTCCCGCAATGTTTATAACAATTACCGAGTCCTTCGCAATTGAACGTTATATTTTGAAAGAGACCTTGCAGTGCGGTGTGTTGAAATTGAAATCCTACGACGGCTACCGGTGCTTTAACTTTTCCATTACCTGGATGAATAATCATTTTCCATGAAAAAAAAATAGATTTGAAATTAATTTTATGATTTATTATATTATAATAATTGTTTCGAAATTTGGAAAATAATTACCGATAAATATGGCACGACTGGCAGTGACCAAAGTAGTGTTGTCTGCTCCTTCTTCATCGATTGGTACAGAAAAAACGAAGCTTTCTGGTTGAACATAATGTTGTTCGACAGCACGTTTGTACCAGACCTCGTCTATCGCTCTAGAATACATTTTGCTAAAGTGATCGTCGGGTATAGGATCTTCTTCATCCAAGAGAAAATCTTGCCATCTTGTCAAGCCACTGTGAGTAGCCATGAAAGCAAGCGTCACACCGAAACGTTGTTGAAATTCTTTCCTGTGAAAAATTATATGTTGAGATTTCATTCGATTTTGTCTAAATAAATCTTTTTATTATTTGTTTTTTTCTTTTTTTTTAATTTACTACGATTTATAATTACGAATATATATCGAGCCAAGTATAAATGATAAATGATTTGTTCGTTTAGATAATATTTGTATCTACGTAAATTTGATGAGAACAAAAATATCTGTCAAAGATAATTCAATCAAATGTTCATAGAAATTTGCACGAAAGTTTATCGAATTTCAAATCTATTTGTTATATTACATAAGTATATTATATTGGAACTTGTTTATTTCTTTGTTTTTTTTTAAATGAAACGTATAAACTGAATTGCAAATTTATATGATCGTACGAATGAATATATTTTATTTCTACACAGCGTGAGTACGGTAATGTTCATATTGAGGAAATCCACTTGTTGTTATCTCCACGTCCTCTTTACGAATCCCATTCCTGAAGAAAAGATGATGCTGGGCCATACGAAGGAGCGTACAAGCAACTTGTTTGCTAATATAAAAGTTTCGATGAACCAACAAGAAGGATGGTTTGTGACACCAGAGAAAAGAATAAGATAAATGATATATTTTCTTTGACGAGTCACATATGGAAGAATTAAAGATATAAAACAACAACAACAAAAATATATATATATATATATATATAT